TATGGTATAGTATAGTATGGTATAGTATAGTATAGTATAGTATAGTATGGTATGGTATAGTATAGTATAGTATAGTATAGTATAGTATAGTATAGTATAGTATAGTATAGTATAGTATAGTATAGTATAGTATAGTATAGTATAGTATAGTATAGTATAGTATAGTATAGTATAGTATAGTATAGGATAGTATAGTATAGGATAGTATAGGATAGTATAGGATAGTATAGTATAGGATAGTATAGTATAGTATAGTATAGTATAGTAATGCATATAATAACCTTTGAAACTGGGGTCTATTAATATCATTAAGATCACTATTTGAGTGATTTTTTCCATGTCTGCGATTCGAGCTTTATTATCGCTGAACGCTAACGTTCACAATCAGTGGTATAGTGTCAATTCAGTTGATCAATTGCACAATTGATGTGGGAAAATTCATGTATAAATAAAATGACTTTACAAATACACGTGTTGTCTGTTGCGTTGCGAAATTTGTGATCCAAAGTCATTCATGCGCATCGTCTGCGCATGGGCAGTTCTACTGTAGTCAAATATTTCGCAAGTCAGGAATTTCGCATCACACCGGTCCCAAAATTTGGGAACTATCTACGTGAACTGAACAAGAATTATGCATTCAACTCACTGAGACGACTAAGAGAGCACTAAAATTGCTTATCAATCTAATATCCATGATTACCCTGACTAATCAACCCCCAAATACAAGATTGGTAGTGCAGTATATATTGAACCTGTGGGCATTTTGCTCAGCTATGCCTATACGACACAAGTAATTTAATTTTTGCAAATTTTAGTCTTGTGCGTATTACAATTTCATTTTCATAAGTTCTTTGAATGTTTGCATGGCGATAAAATATAATTGTTTTTGTTTGTGGAAACACCACGTAAATATATTACTGCAGTAATAAATTTACGTGGTGTTTCCACAAACGAAAACAATTAAATTTCATTTTCAACTAACAAAAATGTCGGGTGATTGATGTTATTATAGTAGAGCAGTTGAAATTAAACAGCTATCGACACAACAGGTGCAACTTTAATCACGCTTTGATTGGCGTTCCCCCAACTTTATGATGATGCAGCCTTCACACGGATTAGCAATCAAGAGAGCTATATGGGATTTCACCACACCTTCCCTCTAGAATATACGAACTCGTCATTTACTTTCCTTGCTAATTTACTTTACTCGCTAGAGTGTCGTGGATATATTGCCGCTTTTCTTCTGTCACACTTTTTCAGATATTCCTCCGCTCTTTGATGCGTGCATGCATATATATTAGAGACCTTACGATTCTAGGACGGCAACGCGACGGCGACGGCCAAAACAAACTCCTTCAAATAAATGGTAGTAAAGATAGTTCGTGGTATATTATCAATCGTATGAATTTAATACAGTTTTAGAATTAAGTTGAAGACATGGATTTTATCGTTGGGAAGAGTTCTGCTAAACCCAGTTTGAAGTTGCACTTGTCAGTGCGGCTTGGAATGTAACCGTTGTATCAAGACGTGAATATCTGTGATTTGCCGTTGTAAACAGAGCGAGGACAATGTCTAAATTATTGATATATTGCAATTACTCAATTATTTTCAATGATCTATTGTATTGGTAGCCGTTGCCGTCCTAAAATCGTACGGTCTCTAATATTTACGACACGCGCCGGCATATATGCGCTAATTGATGTGTGGTGCAATGCCGATAGTCTGGGATAACGAAAATATGCGTCTTAGCGGTCAACTTAGTGACTAAAAATGTCATTTTCTGTTCCTAATAATATTACATATCATGTTCTTTTTTAATTTAGGCAAAGTGTGGCGAAAGACTGAAAAGAGGTCTGTCCACTACAGTATCTCCAGGCGTCTGTTTTTGCTACGGTCGCTCCAAGCAAAGATAAAAAGGAATGGGAAATGGGTAACAATTACACTTAATACGTGTAAAAGGCTGCCAGATTATTTCCCCGAACTAGTGAAAGGTGGATGTGCCAGAAATCCTGACGCCTATGAATATCATTGTCGCTCTAAAACTGCGACTTGCATGTACAGTGTTTCATGCAAATTTGACAAAAATGTTCACGAATATCGCTGTAGAGAGACGCATTTTTTCACTGGTTGGACTTGCTGCGATGTCAAGTGTGCCTGAACCTACCGCAATTTGATGGTTTACTATCAATATCCATTCCTGTGATTTACATTTTGATTTTACATTTGTTAGTAATGCACATAAATTTTAAATTAAATTAATTAAATGATTACTATATATAGCCGAAATAATTTACAATGGAAGTTTTGTTACAGTCCGTAAATAAAAATAAATCGTGCGTTTCATTGATCTTTACTGTATTTTTTCTTCTGCATCAATTATGCTGCTAAGGATTCTCATTTCCTTGGATCGTTCTGGCATTAACTTCGACCCCAGTTTGAAACTTTCCTACTTGTAAGTTGGATAAAGTTTCCTTAAGGTTATGAACATAATGATTAGTATAGCTACTAGTACTAAATATGTACAAGTGGAGTCTAATCAGACTTCGCCTTCGTTGATTATTCGCCCATAGACCACCCGAACTTGTTGTCTAATAGAACTATATAGTTGTTATTAAGGTAATTCCGGAGTAATTGTTACTGAAATGAGAATGTGCTGAAACTTCCCAGGCATGGAGTTTCTGATATACTTAAAGTAAAATCACACAAAAAAGTCGGGGTCACCGAACTCGTTAAGAAGATATGACAATCACAATAGACCACCTTTACCCCAATATGGCGGCATCTTGACGCTCATTATGAGTAACAGCAAAATCACAACAGCCCAATATTTATTGACGTTTTTAGCGCGGATTTTGCTTTAGTAAACCTATCTTGTAATTGTTTTTGAAAAAATATTGTGTTTTGAGCAATGAAACTAATAACGTGTACAATTCTGATCCAGAAATGTCTTTTCCACATTTCTTTACATATCAATCTTGGGGAATATGCACTGATAAAGGGTTTTTTTCATGATCCAGAAATGATTTTTCTTTTAATTAATTTCGGATATGAAATGTAAAATGCATTAAAGAAATAAATTATTAGTTAAAAAACGGGGGTCACCGATCTTTTTAGGGAATTGTGGCATTAAAACGTGAAATACAAGTAAATAAATATACTACAGACACAGGGAACCCTAGCTACACTTTACAGCCTTTTTTGAAAACATTGATATTAACGTAATTCTTTGCACGAATGTAACCAAAGATGTTTTGAAGTAACATAAAATTGTCATAAAACGATTTTTTTTAAACGGTACGTATAATGGATGAAATTATAAGTTATAAGATGTGCGCAGTAAAAATGCGCAATGCATGCAAACTGCGGAATTACCTTAAGTAGATTAAGGCTATACGATTCAACATGAGCTCCAACCTCGTACCCAGGGCCTTTGCGCGGTTCAGAGGCTCTGGTACGGGAAGCAGTACCAGAGCCTCTGAACCACGCAAAGGCCCTGGGTACGAGGTTGCATGAGCTCCACCTTTAATTTGAATTTACTATATGAGTAAATTCTTAAACACGTCCGAATTTATCATTATGATAAATTCGCGGCACATTTTGAATTTTTCAATAGAGTTAATCATAAAACCACAATCATTGCACAAGGTTTCTTGTTATAAATGTAATGGACTAAAAGGGAGGCTGGTCGCGCAGGGGTGGTGAGTTTTTGCATGTTTTTTAAAAAAATAGTTTTTAATTAAGGTGGCTCCCTACAGTTAGTACAGTTTAAATTAGTGATGGGCGATACCAGCTTTTTTGGGTTCGATACCATACCAGTCCGATACCATGAATTTTGGTCGATACCGATACCAAAATCGATACCGATACTCAATTTTTTCCATTTATTAAAATAACTTTTAAAACAAGA